AAAACAACCAAACTTGGCCATGTATTGTAACAAGCTCGGGGCTTGGTCAACAACAAGAATAAAAATGTAGTAGTCTGTGCGGGGCTAATGTGACGTGCTTTTTAAAGACGATATAACTCCTGCAGCACACTTTTTCACGAGGTCAATGAAACGAATCTTTCATTTAACACATCCGTGTTGTTTTTTAATTTATTGTATTGAAGCAAAAGCTTCTCTGGCTCGCGTTCGGCATTCTCTCAGTTATCTGGTCCGCTTGGAAATAAACGTTTGGTGATTCCTGTTCTACAATAAGTCAAGTTGGGTTAGTATTTTTTTCTCTCAGCTTGGTGGGGAATTTAAACATCTCACTTTTACAAAAGCTAGATTTTGGGCAGCGCATTGGAATAGCGATCTTGTATAATATCTAACATTAGAACAGCGAGTATTTCTGACATGGGATTAGTGAATCGTTGTTGTTGTTGATTTTTTTCTTCTTATATTTCATGTTTACAGGTAGATGTTGTTGGAATCGCCTTTTGTGTAGAAATATAAGAACACCCCCCCCCCTCTTTCAAACAAACAGAATCAGTATCTTCTCACTGAAAAAAATGTCATCAACTTACACAGTACTGTAGTCCATAGACACCTTTCCGTCAAAGCCATGCTCTCTCATGACACGAAGGGTTACTTTGCCAGTCTTGCAGTCCAGGTGGTAGTGGGTGTCTTCGAACTCGAACTCTCCGGGTTCTGCCAAGAGGAATCATATTAGAAGAATGAGTGTACTGCTGGAACATACACGCACACACTAACACATAGATAGAGTAACAGACAAACTGACAGACAAGCAGACAGACAGACAGACAGACAGACAGACAGAAATAAATACATACACAGCATACAGACGGAAAGAAATACATACACAGCATACAGACAAACTGACAGGCAGAAACAGACAGAGACAGATAGATACAGACAGAGAAAGACAGAGACAGATAGATACAGACAGAGAAAAACAGAGGCAAATAAAGACAGACAGAGAAAGACAAAGACAGACAGACAGACAGACAAACTGATAACCCGACCTACAGAGACCAGCAGACACTCCAACTCCGTGAGTACCAGATAATGCCCTTACCGTCGTCGTCCACAATGGTCACCCGTGTCACACTAGGGTCGCCAATGCCCGTGCCACCGTGGGGGTTCTTGAGAATGACGTAAAAATCTACGTCTGCCTCGTACTGGTTGTCGTTGATGATCGGAACCGTGACGGTCTTCTTGTACTCGTTCTCTTGGAATACCTGGTGATAGGTAGACAGGTGTGTGAAATGACTTGCTGCTGCAGCCCTTCTCATTCTCTTTGTGGTTGTTGCTACTGCTGCTTCTGCTGCTGCTGTTGTTGTTGTTGTTACTGTTGTTGTTGTTGTTGCTGCTGCCGCTGTTGTTGTTGTTGTTGTTGTTGTTGTTGTTGTTGATATGGATGATGTAGATGTTGTTGTTATTACTGTTGTTCCTGTTA